CTCAGTTATAGTAAAGTTGCCTCAGTTATAGTAAAGTTGCCTCAGTTATAGTAAAGTTGCCTCAGAGTAAAGTTGCCTCAGAGTTAGGGGTGGGTAAAGTTGCTTCAGAGTTGGGTAAAGTTGCCTCGAAGTAGTGGGGGGGGGGGAATAAGCCTAAGATTTTGGATAAAGTTGTCTCAGATTTTGGATGAAGTTGCCTTAAAGTTGAGGTAAAGTTGTCTCGTAGTACGGGTAAAGTTCCCTCAGATTTTGGATAATGTTGCCTAAAGAGTTGAGGTAAAGTTACCTCAGATTTGAGGTAAAGTTACCTCAGAGTTTAAGTAATGTTGCCTCAGATTTTGTATAAAGTTGCCTAAAATTTTTAAAACAGTTCCTCAGAGTTGAGATAAAGTTGCCTCAGATTTTTGATAGCATTGCCTTTGAGTTTGAGTAAAGTTCCCTCAGAGTTGAGGTAAAGTCGCCTCAGAGTTGAGGTAAAGTTGCCTCAGAGTTGAGGTGAAGTCGCCTCAGAGTTTAGGTAAAATCGCCTCAGATTTTGGATAAAGTTGCCTTAGAGTTAAGGTGAAGTTTCCTCAGAGTTGAGGAAAAGTTGCCTCAGATTTTGGATAGAGTCACCTCAGAGTTGAGGTAAAGTTGCCTCAGAGTTGAGGTAAAGTCGCCTCAGAGTTGAGGTAAAGTCGCCTCAAAGTTGAGGTGAAGTTGCCTCAGAGTTGAGGAAAAGTCGCCTCAGAGTTGAGGTGAAGTCGCCTCAGTTGAGGTAAAGTTGCCTCAGAGTTGAGGTAAAGTTGCCTCAGAGTTGAGGTAAAGTCGCCTCAGAGTTGAGGTAAAGTCTCCTCAGAGTTGAGGTAAAGTCGCCTCAGAGTTGAGGTAAAGTTGCCTCAGAGTTGAGGTAAAGTCGCCTCAGAGTTGAGGTGAAGTTGCCTCAGAGTTGAGGTAAAGTCGCCTCAGAGTTTAGGTAAAATCGCCTCAGATTTTGGATAAAGTTTCCTCAGAGTTGAGGAAAAGTTGCCTCAGATTTTGGATAAAGTTGCCTCAGAGTTGAGGTAAAGTTGCCTCAGAGTTGAGGTAAAGTTGCCTCAGAGTTGAGGTAAAGTTGCCTCAGAGTTGAGGTAAAGTCGCCTCAGTTGAGGTAAAGTTGCCTCAGAGTTGAGGAAAAGTTGCCTCAAAGTTGAGGTAAAGTTCAGTGTTGGTGGGGGGGGGTGTTTTTGGCGGGAGAATGAGGGGTTGAATCAGGGATCCGCGATGGCTCGGGGTCCCCGGCTACCCCTGCTGCTGCTGCCCCTGCTGCTGCTGCTGCCCCTTAGAAAGGGGACCCTGAGAGAGGGGACCCTAACAGAGGGGACCCTGACTGAGGGGACCCTGACTGAGGGGACCCTGACAGAGGGGACTCTGACAGAGGGGGTCCTCAGTGAGGGGACCTTGACAGAGGGGGCCCTGATAGAGGGGACCCTGAGAGAGGGGACTCTGAGAAAGGGGACCCTGACTGAGGGGGCCCTGACTGAGGGTGTCCTCAGTGAGGGGACTCTGACAGAGGGGACCCTGACAGAGGGGACCCTGACAGAGGGGGTGCTCAGTGAGGGGACCCTGACAGAGGGAACCCAGACTGAGGGGACCCTGACAGAGGGGACCCTGACTGAGGGGACTCTGACTGAGGGGACTCTGACTGAGGGGACTCTGACAGAGGGGACCCTGAGAGAGGGGACCCTGAGAGAGGGGGTCCTCAGTGAGGGGACCCTGACAGAGGGGACTCTGACAGAGGGGACCCTGACTGAGGGGACCCTGACAGAGGGGGTCCTCAGTGAGGGGACCCTGACAGAGGGGACCCTGACAGAGGGGACCCTGAGAGAGGGGACCCTGAGAGAGGGGACCTTGAGAAAGGGGGCCCTGATAAAGGGGACCCTGAGAAAGGGGGCCCTGAGAGAGGGGACCCTGAGAGAGGGGACCCTGACAGAGGGGACCCTGACTGAGGGGACCTTGAGAAAGGGGGCCCTGATAAAGGGGACTCTGAGAAAGGGGGTCCTGACAGAGGGGGCCGGAAGGGAGCGGAGGGGCCTGGACCCCTCGCCAGCACCTGGACTCAAGCCGGGCGGCCGGAACGTCTGCAGCACCGCGGGGTGAGACCACAAACCATCATCACCATCATCATCACCATCATCACCAACACCATCACCACCATCACTAACACCATCACTAACACCACCATCACTAACACCACCACCATCACCATCACTAACACCATCACCACCACCATCACTAACACCATCACTAACACCACCATCACTAACACCACCACCATCACCATCACTAACACCATCACCACCACCATCACTAACACCATCACTAACACCACCATCACTAACACCACCATCATCACCACCGCTAACACCACCATCACCACCATCACTAACACCACCATCACCACCATCACTAACACCATCACTAACACCACCATCACTAACACCACCACCACCATCACCACCATCACTAACACCATCACTAACACCATCACTAACACCACCACCATCACTAACACCATCATCACTAACACCATCACTAACACCACCATCACCACCATCACTAACACCATCATCACCATCACTAACACCACCACCATCACCACCATCATCACTAACACCATCACTAACACCACCATCACTAACACCACCACCACCATCACCACCATCACTAACACCATCACTAACACCACCACCATCACTAACACCATCATCACTAACACCATCACTAACACCACCATCACCACCATCACTAACACCATCATCACCATCACTAACACCACCACCATCACCACCATCATCACTAACACCATCACTAACACCACCATCACTAACACCACCACCATCACCATCACCACCACCATCACCACCACCATCACTAACACCATCACTAACACCACCACCATCACCACCACCACTAACACCATCACTAACACCATCACTAACACCACCATCACTAACACCACCACCATCATCATCACTAACACCATCACTAACACCACCATCACTAACACCACCATCATCACCAACACCATCACTAACACCATCACTAACACCACCATCACTAACACCACCACTAACACCATCACTAACACCACCATCACTAACACCACCATCATCATCACCATCACTAACACCACCACCATCACCACCATCATCACTAACACCATCACTAACACCACCATCACTAACACCACCACCATCACCACCATCATCACTAACACCATCACCACCATCATCACTAACACCATCACTAACACCACCATCACTAACACCACCACCATCACCACCATCACCACCATCACTAACACCATCACTAACACCACCACCATCACCAGCACCACTAACACCATCACTAACACCATCACTAACACCACCATCACTAACACCACCACCATCATCATCACCATCACTAACACCATCACCACCACCATCACTAACACCATCACTAACACCACCATCACTAACACCACCATCATCACCACCACTAACACCACCATCACCACCATCACTAACACCACCATCACCACTAACACCACCATCACTAACACCACCATCACTAACACCACCATCACCACCACCATCACTAACACCATCACTAACACCACCATCACCATCATCACCATCATCACCATCACTAACACCACCACCATCACTAACACCACCACCATCACCACCACCATCACTAACACCACCATCACCACCACCATCACTAACACCATCACTAACACCACCACCATCACCACCACCATCACCACCATCACCACCACCATCACCACCACCACTATCACCACCATCACCACCACCATCACCACCATCACCACCACCACTAACACCATCATCACCACCACTATCACCACCATCACCACCACCATCACCACCATCACCACCACCATCACCACCACCATCACCACCACCACCATCATCACCATCACTAACACCACCATCACTAACACCACCACCATCATCATCACCATCACTAACACCATCACTAACACCACCATCACTAACACCACCACCATCACCATCACTAACACCATCACCACCACCATCACTAACACCATCACTAACACCACCATCACTAACACCACCATCATCACCACCACTAACACCACCATCACCACCATCACTAACACCACCATCACCACTAACACCACCATCACTAACACCACCATCACCACCACCATCACTAACACCATCACTAACACCACCATCATCACCATCATCACCATCACTCACACCACCACCATCACTAACACCACCACCATCACCACCACCATCACTAACACCACCATCACCACCACCATCACTAACACCATCACTAACACCACCACCATCACCACCACCACCACCATCACCACCACCACTATCACCACCATCACCACCACCATCACCACCATCACCACCACCACTAACACCATCATCACCACCACTATCACCACCATCACCACCACCATCACCACCATCACCACCACCATCACCACCACCACCACCATCACCACCACTAACACCACCATCACCACCATCACCACCACCATCACCACCACTATCATCACCACCATCACCACCACCATCACCACCATCACCACCACTATCACCACCATCACCACCACCATCACCACCACCATCATCACCACCATCACCACCACTATCAACACCATCACCACCACTAACATCACCATCACCACCATCACCACCATCACCACCACCATCACCACCACTATCACCACCATCACCACCACCACTAACACCACCATCACCACCATCACCACCACTTTCATCACCAGCATCACACCATCACCACTATCATCACCATCACCACCACCATCACCACCACTATCACCACCATTACCATCATCATCACCACCACTAACACCACCATCAGCACTACTGTCATCACCACCATCATCATCACCACCACCATCACCACCATCACCACCACTATCATCACCACCACCATCACCACCACCATCACCACCATTACCACCACCATCATCACCACCATCACCACTACTATCATCACCACCATCACCACCACCATCACCACCACTATCACCACCATCACCACCACCATCATCATCACCACCACCATCATCATCACCACCACCATCATCATCACCACCACCATCACCACTATCAACACCATCATCACCACCATCATCACCACCATCACTACCATCATCACCACCATCATCACCACCATCATCACCATTACTACCATCATCACCATCACCACCATCGTCATCACCATCACCACCATCATCACCATCACCACTACCATCACAACTACCATCACCACTACCATCACTACCACCACTACCATCACTACCACCACTACCATCACCATCATTACCACCATCACTTTATCGTCACCTAACTAATCACCGCGTGTCCTGGTGTCTCCGTGTCCCCGTGTCCCCATGTCTACCTCTCCCCGTGTCCTGGTGTCTCTGTGTCCCCGTGTCTCTGTGTACCCGTGTCCCCGTGTCTCCGTGTCTCCCTCTCCCCGTGTCTCCCTGTGTCCATGTCGCCATGTCCCCGTGTCCCCGTGTCTCTGTGTCTCCCTGTCATGGTGTCACCATGTTTCCATGTCTACCTCTCCCCGTGTCCTGGTGTCTCTGTGTCCCCGTGTCTCTGGGTACCCGTGTCCCCGTGTCTCCGTGTCTCCCTCTCCCCGTGTCTCCCTGTGCCCATGTCCCCGTGTCTCTGTGTCTCCCTGTCATGGTGTCACCATGTTTCCATGTCTACCTCTCCCCGTGTCTCCATGTCCCCGTGTCTCCGTGTCTCTGTGTCCCCTATCTCCGTGTCACCGTGTCTCCATGTCTCCGTGTCTCCATCTCCCCGTGTCCTGGTGTCTCTGTGTCTCCATGTCCCCGTGTCTCCCTCTCCCCGTGTCTCCATCTCCCCGTGTCCCCGTGTCTCTGTGTCTCCCTCTCCCCGTGTCTCCCTGTCCCCGTGTCCTGGTGTCTCTGTGTCTCCATGTCCCCGTGTCTCCCTCTCCCCGTGTCTCCGTGTCCCCGTGTCTCTGTGTCTCCCTCTCCCCGTGTCTCCATCTCCCCGTGTCCTGGTGTCTCTGTGTCTCCATGTCCCCGTGTCTCCCTCTCCCCGTGTCTCCCTCTCCTCGTGTCCCCGTGTCTCCGTGTCCCCGTGTCTCGGTGTCTCCGTGTCCCCGCGCAGGAGTCTACAATGCTGCCCTGGATGGGAACAGCTTCTGGATGAATGCCTCACACGTGAGTTACAAAACTCACCACCCTACTCGCCACCCTACTCACCACACTACTCACCACACTACTCACCACACTACTCACCACACTCCTCACCACTCTACTCACCACACTACTTACCACACTACTCACCACTCTACTCACCACACTACTCACCACACTCCTCACCACACTACTCACCACACTACTCACTACACTACTCACCACGCCACTCACCACACTACTCACCACACTACTCACCACACTACTCACCACTCTACTTACCACACTACTCACCACACTACTCAAAACCCTACTCACCACGCCACTCACCACACCACTCACCACGCCCCTCACCACCCTACTCACCACCCTACTCACCACCCTACTCACCACCCTACTCACTACCCTACTCACCACCCTACTCATCACACTACTCACCACTCTACTCACCACACTACTCACCACCCTACTCACCACACTCCTCACCACTCTACTCACCACACTACTCACCACACTACTCACCACTCGACTCACCACACTACTCACCACCCTACTTACCACACTACTCACCACTCTACTCACCACACTACTCACCACACTCCTCACCACTCTACTCACCACACTACTTACCACACTACTCACCACTCTACTCACCACACTACTCACCACACTCCTCACCACACTCCTCACCACACTACTCACCACACTACTCACCACGCCACTCACCACACTACTCACCACACTACTCACCACACTACTCACCACTCTACTTACCACACTACTCACCACACTACTCAAAACCCTACTCACCACGCCACTCACCACGCCACTCACCACGCCCCTCACCACCCTACTCACCACCCTACTCACCACCCTACTCACTACCCTACTCACCACCCTAATCATCACACTACTCACCACTCTACTCACCACACTACTCACCACCCTACTCACCACACTACTCACCACTCACCACACTCCTCACCACCTTACTCACCACACTACTCACCACACTACTCACCACCCTACTCACCAGTCTACTCACTACACTCCTCACCACTCTGCTCACCACTCTACTCACCACCCTACTCACCACACTACTCACCACTCTACTCACCACACTGCTCACCACTCTACTCACCACACTGCTCACCACTCTACTCACCACACTGCTCACCACTCTACTCACCACTCTACTCACCACTCTACTCACCACACTACTCACCACACTACTCACCACTCTACTCACCACACTACTCACCACTCTACTCACCACTCTACTTACCACACTACTCACCACACTGCTCACCACTCTACTCACCACTCTACTCACCACACTACTCACCACACTACTCACCACACTGCTCACCACTCTACTCACCACTCTACTCACCACACTACTCACCACACTGCTCACCACTCTACTCACCACACTACTCACCACACTGCTCACCACACTACTCACCACCCTACTCACCAAACTACTCACCACCCTACTCACCACACTACTCACCACTCACCACACTCGTGTGTCTGTATGTATGTGTCACATGTGTATGTGTCACATGTGTGTATGTGTCACACACTCCTGTGTGCGTGTGTGACACATACACACATGTGACACACGCACAGACACGCATGTGGCACGTATGTTCGTACGTACAGACACACGCACGCGGGAGCGTGTGACACACACACACACACGTGTGGCACATACAGACACACGTACGCGCGAGTGTGTGACACATACACACACGTGACACCTACAGACACACAGACACACATACGCGCGAGTGTGTGACACACACACACACGTGATACATACATACAGACACACGCACACACGAGTGTTTGACACATACATGTGACACACACACATACACACATGTGACACACACACACGTGACACATACATACAGACACATGCACACACGAGTGTGTGACAGATACACACGTGACACATACACACACGTGACACACACACGTGACACATACACAAAGACAAAGGTCCCCCGTGTAGCCTTAACAGACTGTAGGGGCAAGTGCTGTTAGCGAGCACCTATGAAGGCCGGAACGGTACACGAGGGGGTGGGTGGCCAGCACCACGCCCGACCGCCTTTGTCTCCCCAGTGGCAATGTTTACACACCGCACCAGGTACTCATTTGCGGATGAGTCAACCTAGGGGAGGCCCGGGACCGGTTCAGAGAATCGTCACCGGTGGTGGCCGTGAGCAGGAATCGAACCCAGGTCGCCGGGTTCATAGCGCAGCGCGCTACCTGCTACACTACCGCTCCCCACACACACATGCATACAGACAGACAGACACACGTACACACGCGTGTGTGACACACACAGACACGCACGTGACACGTACACACAGACAGACACACGTACACACGCGTGTGTGACACACACAGACACGCACGTGACACGTACACACACAGACACACGTACACACGAGTGTGTGACACACGGACGTGACACGTACACACACGCAGACAGACACACGTACAAACGCGTGTGTGACACACACAGACACGCACGTGACACGTACACACAGACACACGTACACACGAGTGAGTGACACACACAGACACGCACGTGACACGTACATACACACAGACAGACACACGTACACACGAGTGTGTGACACACACAGACACGCACGTGACACGTACACACAGACAGACACACGTACACACGAGTGTGTGACACACGCACGTGACACACACATACACACACGCAGACAGACACACGTACACACGAGTGTGTGACACACACAGACACGCACGTGACATGTACACACAGACAGACACACGTACACACGAGTGTGTGACACACGCACGTGACACACACATACACACACACAGACAGACACACGTACACACGAGTGTGTGACACACACACGTGACACACACATACACACACACAGACAGACACACGTACACACGAGTGTGTGACACACACAGACACGCACGTGACACGTACACACAGACAGACACACGTACACACGAGTGTGTGACACACGCATGTGACACACACATACACACACACAGACAGACACACGTACACACGAGTGTGTGACACACACACGTGACACACACATACACACACACAGACAGACACACGTACACACGAGTGTGTGACACACACAGACACGCACGTGACCCGTACACACAGACAGACACACGTACACACGAGTGTGTGACACACGCACGTGACACACACACACAGACAGACACACGTACACACGAGTGTGTGACACACGCACGTGACACATATACACATACACACAGACAGACACACGTACACACGAGTGTGTGACACACGCACGTGACACACACATACACACACACAGACAGACACACGTACACACGAGTGTGTGACACACACAGACACGCACGTGACACGTACACACACACACACACGTACGCACGAGTGTGTGACACGAACGTGACACACACATACACACGTACACACACGTACACACGCGTGTGTGACACACGTACACACGAGTGTGTGACACACGCACGTGACACACATACACACGTACACACACGTACACACGAGTGTGTGACACACGCACGTGACACGTACATACAGAGACAGACACACGTACACACGCGTGTGCGACACACGTACACACGAGTGTGTGACACAAGCGCGTGACACACACGTACATACACACAGAGACAGACACACGTACACACGCGTGTGTGACACAGCACTTGCCCCAGCAGTCTGTTGACAGGCTACACGGGGGATCTTTGTCTTTGCGTAGCGGTGTGCGCAGGCAATGACACCTGTGCTCAGGGGGAGGTGTGCGTCAAGCCCGGAGAATGTCGCTGTCGCCACGGATACTTCGGGGCGCACTGTGACACAAGTGCGTGACACGCACAGACACGCATGTGGCACGTATGTTCGTACGTACAGACACACGCACGCGGGAGCGTGTGACACACACACACACACACGTGTGGCACATACAGACACACGTACGCGCGAGTGTGTGACACACACACACACACACACGTGACACATACATACAGACACACGCACACGTGACACATACATACAGACACACGCACACACGAGTGTGACACATTCACACACGTGACACATACATACACGCAGACACACGTACGCGCGAGTGTGTGACACACACACACGTAACACATACATACAGACACACACACACACGTGGCACATACATACATACAGACACACGCACACACGAGTGTGTGACACACACACACGTGACACATACATACAGACACACACACGTGACACATACATACAGACACACGTACGCGCGAGTGTGTGACACACACACACACACGTGACACATACATACAGACACACGCACACACGAGCGTGTAACACACACACACGTGACACATACAGACACACAGACACACGTACGCGCGAGTGTGTGACACACACACACACGTGACACATACATTCAGACACACACACACGTGACACATACATACAGACACACGCACACACGAGTGTGTGACACATACACACACGTGACACATACAGACACACAGACACGCGTACGCGCGAGTGTGTGACACACACACACACGTGACACATACATACAGACACACGTACGCGCGAGTGTGTGACACACACACACGTGGCACATACATACAGACACACACACACACAGGCGACACATACATACAGACACATGCACACACGAGTGTGTGACACATACACACGTGACACATACACACGTGACGCACACACACGTGACACACACACACGTGACACATACATACGGACACACAAGTGTGTGACACACACACACGTGAGGCATACATATAGACATACATGCACGAGTGTGTGACACACACAGACACACGTGACACATACAAACACATGCACACACGAGTGTGTGACACACACATACACGTGACACATACATACATATAGACATACATACACGAGTGTGTGACACACACACAGACACACATGTGACACATACAGACATACACGAGTGTGTGACACACACAGACACACACGTGACACATACAGACATACACGAGTGTGTGACACACACAGACACACGTGACACATACAGACATACACGAGTGTGTGACACACACAGACACACACGTGACACATACAGACATACACGAGTGTGTGACACACACAGACACACGTGTGACACATACAGACATACACGAGTGTGTGACACACACAGACACACATGTGACACAGACATACACGAGTGTGTGACACACACAGACACACACGTGACACATACAGACATACACGAGTGTGTGACACACACAGACACACGTGACACATACAGACATGCACGAGTGTGTGACACACACACACACATGTGACACATACAGACATACACGAGTGTGGGACACACACAGACACACATGTGACACATACATACATACACGAGTGTGTGACACACACATAGACACTCGTACACAGAGACACAGACATACACGAGTGTGTGACACACACATAGACACACGTGACACATACATACAGACACACGCACATGTGACACATACATACAGACACACGTACGCGCCAGTGTGTGACACACACACACACACACACGTGACACATACATACAGACACACGCACACACGAGTGTGTGACACATTCACACACGTGACACATACAGACACACAGACATGCGTACGCGCGAGTGTGTGACACACACATACACGTGACACATACATACAGACACAAACACACACGTGACACATACATACAGACACACCCACACACACGCGACACATACATACAGACACACGCACACAGGAGTGTGTGACACATACACACATGTGACACACACACATATGACACATACATACAGACACATGCACACAGGAGTGTGTGACACATACACACGTGACACATACACACACGTGACACATACACACATGTGACACATACATACGGACACACTTACACACGAGTGTGTGACACACACACACGTGACGCATACATATAGACACACATACACGAGTGTGTGACACACACAGACACACATGTGACACATACAGACATACACGAGTGTGTGACACACACAGACACACATGTGACACATACAGACATACACGAGTGTGTGACACACACAGACACACGTGTGACACATACAGACATACACGAGTGTGTGACACACACAGACACACATGTGACACAGACATACACGAGTGTGTGACACACACAGACGCACACGTGACACATACAGACATACACGAGTGTGTGACACACACACACACATGTGACACATACAGACATACATGAGTGTGTGACACACACAGACACTCATGTGACACATACAGACATACACGAATGTGTGACACACACAGACACACATGTGACACATACATACATACACGAGTGTGTGACACACACAGACACACACGTGACACATACAGACATACACGAGTGTGTGACACTCATATAGACACACGTGACACATACAGACATACACGAGTGTGTGACACACACACATTAGACACTCATACACAGAGATACAGACACAACAACAGCCGCCATTCACCACGAAGTGACGGTGTCGTCACCACGGCGCCTGTGCCAGGCTAGGTGCACTTTGAAGCCACGTGGAGTGTTGAAGGCTCGCTGCTTTCAGGAGGTCACGTGACAAACCAACGTGCCATGGGTTGACTGCTGTGCCAGGCTAGGTGCACGAGGAGGTCATGGGACAGACCCAGCAGGTGCCACGGGTTGACTGCTGTGCCAGGCTAGGTGCAGAAGGAGGAGGTTACGGGACAGAGCCAGCAGGTGCCAAGGGTTGCACTGCTGTGCCAGGCTAGGTGCATGAGGAGGAGGTCACGGGACAGACCCAGCAGGTGGCATGGGTTGACTGCTGTGCCAGGCTAGGTGCAGGAGGAGGAGGTCACGGGACAGACCCTGCAGGTGTCATGGGTTGTACTGCTGTGCCAGGCTAGGTGCAGGAGGAGGAGGTCACGGAACAGACCCTGCAGGTGTCATGGGTTGACTGCTGTGCCAGGCTAGGTGCAGGAGGAGGTCACGGGACAGACCCTGCAGGTGTCATGGGTTGACTGCTGTGCCAGGCTAGGTGCAGGAGGAGGTCACGGGACCATCTCTCCCTGTGTCCGTGCGCGCGTGCACACACACACCACCATCACCACCACCACTACCATCACCACCACTACCACCACCACTACTACACTACCACCACTACTACCACCACCACTACTACCACCACTACTACCACTACTACTACCACCACCACCCCAACCACCACCATCACCACCACCATCACCACCACTATCACCACCACAACCACCATCACCACTACCACCACTGCTACCACCACCATCACCACCCCCACCACCATCACCACCATCACCACCACTATCACCACCACAACCACCATCACCACCCCCACCACCCCCCCTACCACCACCACCACTACCACCACCGCTACCATCACCACCCCCACCACCACCACAACCACCACCCCCACCACCACCACCACCACAACCACCACCCCCACCACCCTCACCACCACCACCACAGAGTGCCCCAGCCAGTACTGGGGTCCCGAGTGTAAGCGCCAGTGCCTCTGCCACCCGCACGGAACCTGTGACGCTCGCACGGGAGCCTGCACCTGCGCGCCCGCACGCTGGGGAGAGCGCTGCCAGGAGGCCTGCGCCTGTAACTTCGGAGTCTGCGACGCGGCCACCGGAGCCTGCAGCTGTCACCACGGCTGGTGAGGGAGAGGCACGGGGAGGGAGAGACACGGGGGGAGACACACGGGGGGAGAGACACGGGGAGAGACACGGGGGGAGAGACATGGGGAGAGACGGGGGGAGAGACACGGGGGGAGAGACGGGGAGAGACGGGGAGACACAGGGAGAGACGGGGAGAGACACGGGGAGGCACTGGGAGAGACAGGGAGAGACGGGGAGAGACGGGGAGACAGGGGGAGACACGGGGAGAGACACAGGGACACGGGGAGGGACACGGGGGGAGACACGGGGAGAGACACGGGGGGAGACACGGGGAGAGACATGGGGAGAGCGCTGCCAGGAGGCTGCGCCTGTAGCTTCGGAGTCTGCGACGCGGCCACCGGAGCCTGCAGCTGTCACCACGGCTGGTGAGGGAGGGACACGGGGAGGGAGAGACACGGGGAGACATGGGTAGAGACACAGGGAGAGACATGGGGAGACACGGGGAGACACACGGGAGACGGGAGACATGGAGAGACACGGGGAGAGACACTGGGAGAGACGGAGAGAGACACGGGGAGAGACACGGGGAGAGACAGGGAGAGACACGGGGAGACACGGGGACACGGGGAGGGACACGGGGGGAGACACGGGGAGACATGGGGAGAGACACGGGGAGAGACAGGGGGAGACACGGGGAGAGACACGGGGAGACACGGGGACACGGGGAGGGACACGGGGGGAGACACGGGGAGACACGGGGAGACATGGGGAGAGACTCGGAGACACAGGGAGAGAGGGAGACACGGGGAGACACAGGGATCTACAGGGAGACACGGGAAGACACGATGAGAGACAGAGAGAGACACGGGGAGACACGGGGAGACACGATGAGAGACAGAGACACGGGGAGACGCACGGAGACACGGGGAGAGAAACGGGGAGACGCGGGGAGAGACTCAGAGACACGGGGAGACACGGGGAGAGACAGAGAGAGAGAGACGTGGGGAGACACGGGGAGACACGGGGAGACACGGGGAGACACACAGAGACACACACAGACACACAGAGACACACAGAGACACACGGAGACACGGGGAGAGACAGAGAGAGATACGTGGAGACACGGGGAGAAACGGGGAGACAGACACGGGGAGACACACAGAGACACACGGAGACACGGGGAGAGACAGAGAGAGACACGGGGCAACACGGGGAGACACGGAGACACGGGGAGAGACAGAGGGAGACATGGGTAGACACGGGGACAGTTGGAGACATGGAGAGATGCATGCGTGTGTGCTCCCACACTGTGTGTGTGTTTGTGTGTGTCCATCAGTAACGATTATCTGAACCGGTCTTGGTCCTCCCTTAGGTCGACTTAGTCTCAAATGAGTACCTGGTGCGCTGTGTAGTGAACATCGCTAGCAATGGGGAGACAAAGGCAGCCGGGTGCGGTGCTGGCCACCCACCCCCTCTTGATAGGTGCTCGCTAACAGCACTTGCCCCTACAGCCATGTTAGAGGCTACACGGGGGACCTTTGTCTGTGTCTACCTTCATAGGTGCTGCTCGCTAACAGCACTTGCCCCTACAGCCCTGTTAGAGGCTACACGGGGGACCTGTGTCTGTGTGTAGGTGCTGCTACTCGCTACTGACAGCACTTGCCCCCTACAGCCCTGTTAGAGGCTACACGGGGGACCTTTGTCTGTGTCTACCTTCATAGGTGCTGCTCGCTAACAGCACTTGCCCCTACAGCCTGTTAGAGGCTACACGGGGGACCTTTGTCTGTGTCTACCTTCATAGGTGCTGCTCGCTAACAGAACTTGCCCCTACAGCCCTGTTAGAGGCTACACGGGGACCTTTGTCTGTGTGTGTGTAGGTACTGCTACTCGCTACTGACAGCACTTGCCCCTACAGCCCTGTTAGAGGCTACACGGGGGACCTTTGTCTGTGTGTGTAGGTGCTGCTCGCTACTAACAGCACTTGCCCCTGCAGCCTGTTAGAGGCTACACGGGGGACCTTTGTCTGTGTGTCTGTGTAGGTGCTGCTCGCTAACAGCACTTGCCCCTACAGCATGTTAGAGGCTATACGGGGGACCTTTGTCTGTCTGTGTGTGTGTGTAGGTGCTGCTCGCTACTGACAGCACTTGCCCCCTACAGCCCTGTTAGAGACTACACGGGGGACCTTTGTGTGTGTGTGTAGGTGCTGCTACTCGCTACTAACAGCACTTGCCCCTTACAGCCCTGTTAGAGGCTACACGGGGGACCTTTGTCTGTGTCTACCTTCATAGGTGCTGCTCGCTAACAGCACTTGCCCCTACAGCCCTGTTAGAGGCTACACGGGGGACCTTTGTCTGTGTGTGTGTAGGTGCTGCTCGCTACTAACAGCACTTGCCCCTACAGCCCTGTTAGAGGCTACACGGGGGACCTTTGTCTGTGTGTGTGTAGGTGCTGCTACTCGCTACTAACAGCACTTGCCCCCTGCAGCCCTGTTAGAGGCTACACGGGGGACCTTTGTCTGTGTCTGTGTGTGTAGGTGCTGCTACTCGCTACTAACAGCACTTGCCCCTGCAGCCCTGTTAGAGGCTACACGGGGGACCTTTGTCTGTGTGTCTGTGTGTAGGTGCTGCTACTCGCTACTAACAGCACTTGCCCCCTGCAGCCCTGCTAGAGGCTACACGGGTGACCTATTCCTTTGCCCAGGTGGGGCTGCCAGTGGTGAGGTGCTCTCTGACCGCGTGCCGTGCCCTCGCCCTCCCCCACCGTGCGCGTGCCCAGGTGGGGCGCCACGTGCGGTGCCACCTGCCGGTGCGGTGCCGGTGCGGTGCTGTGCGAGCAGGCGACGGGTCGCTGTGTGTGCAGTGCCGGCTGGTGGGGGCCCAGCTGCAGCGCTCGCTGCCACTGTGGGGGGGGCTCCCCCTGCAACCCGGCAAACGGTGAGCGAGCGTGCGTGTGTGTCTGTGTGTGACGCTGTGTGTACGTGTGTGTGTGACGCCGTGTGTGTGACGCTGTGTGTGAGTGTGACGCCGTGTGTGTGTGTGACGCCGTGCGTGCGTGACGCTGTGTGTGTGACGCTGTGCGTGTGTGTGACGCCGTGTGTGTGACGCTGTGTGTGCGTGTGTGTCACGCCGTGCGTGCGTGTGTGGCGCTGTGCGTGTGTGAAGCTGTGTGTGTGTGACGCCGTGTGTGTGTGTGATGCTGTGTGTGTGTGTGACGCTGTGTGTGTGTGCGTGTGACGCTGTGCGTGCGTGTGACGCTGTGCGTGAGTGTGTGACACTGAGTGTGTGACGCTGTGTGTGTGACGCTGTGTGTACGTGTGTGACGCTGTGCGTGCATGTGACGCTGTGCGTGCGTGACGCTGTGTGTGTGAGACGCTGTGTGTGTGTGACGCTGTGTGTGTGACGCTGTGCGTGTGTGAAGCTGTGTGTGTGACGCTGTGCGTGAGTGTTACGCTGTGTGTGTGTGTGACGCTGTGTGTGCGTGTGTGACGCTGTGTGTGTGTGACGCCGTGTGTGACGCTGTGTGTGTGACGCTGTGTGTGTGACGCTGTGTGTACGTGTGTGACGCTGTGTGTGACGCTGTGTGTACGTGTGTGACGCTGTGTGTGACGCTGTGTGTACGTGTGTGACGCTGTGTGTGACGCTGTGCGTGCGTGTGTGATGCTGTGTGTGTGACGCTGTGTGTGTGACGCTGTGTGTGTGACGCTGTGTGTACGTGTGTGACGCTGTGTGTGTGTGACGCTGTGTGTGCGTGTGTGTCACGCCGTGCGTGCGTGTGTGACGCTGTGCGTGTGTGTGTGACGCCGTGTGTGTGACGCCGTGTGTGTGACGCTGTGTGTGACGCTGTGTGTGTGACGCTGTGCGTGTGTGTACGTGTGTGATGCTGTGCGTGCGTGTGTGACGCTGTGTGTGTGTGTGACGCTGTGCGTGTGTGACGCTGTGTGCGTGTGACGCTGTGTGTGTGACGCTGTGTGTGTGTGACGCTGTGTGTGTGACGCTGTGTGTGTGTGACGCTGTGTGTGTGACGCTGTGTATGCGTGTGTGACGCCGTGCGTGCGTGTGTGACGCCGTGCGTGCGTGTGTGACGCTGTGTGTGTGTGACGCCGTGTGTGTGACGCCGTGTGTGTGACGCCGTGTGTGTGACGCTGTGTGCGTGTGTGACGCTGTGTGTGTGTGACGCTGTGTGTGTGACGCTGTGTGTGTGACGCTGTGTGTGACGCTGTGCGTGTGACGCTGTGTGTACGTGTGTGACGCTGTGTGTACGTGTGTGGCGCTGTGTGTGACGCTGTGTGTACGTGTGTGACGCTGTGTGTGTGACGCTGTGTGTGACGCTGTGTGTACATGTGTGACGCTGTGCGTGAGTGTGACGCTGTGTGTGTGACGCTGTGTGTACGTGTGTGACGCTGTGTGTACGTGTGTAACGCTGTCTGTACGTGTGTGACGCTGTGTGTGTGACGCTGTGTGTACGTGTGTGACGCTGTGCGTGTGACGCTGTGTGTAAGTGTGTGACGCTGTGCGTGTGTGTGACGCTGTGTGTGTGACGCTGTGTGTGTGTGACGCTGTGTGTGTGACGCTGTGTGTGTGTGACGCTGTGTGTGTGATGCTGTGTGTACGTGTGTGACGCTGTGTGTGTGACGCTGTGTGTGTGTGATGCTGTGTGTGTGACACTGTGTGTGTGACGCTGTGTGTACGTGTGTGGCGCTTTGTGTGTGACGCTGTGCGTGTGTGTGACGCTGTGCGTGTGTAAAGCTGTGTGTGTAACGCTGTGTGTGTGTGACGCTGTGTGTGTGACGCTGTGTGTGTGACGCCGTGCGTGTGTGTGACGCTGTGCGTGTGAGACACTGTGTGTGTGTGATGCTGTGTGTACGTGTGTGACGCCGTGTGTACGTGTGTGACGCTGTGCGTACATGTGTGACGCTGTGTGTGTGACGCCGTGTGTACGTATGTGACGCTGTGTGTATGTGTGATGCTGTGTGTGTGTGAGACGCTGTGTGTTTGTGATGCTGTGTGTACGTGTGTGACGCCGTGTGTACGTGTGTGACGCTGTGCGTACATGTGTGACGCTGTGTGTGTGACGCCGTGTGTACGTGTGTGACGCTGTGTGTGTGTGACGCTGTGTGTGTGTGACGCTGTGCATGTGTGACGCTGTGTGTACGTGTGTGACGCTGTGCGTGTGTGACACTGTGCGTGTGACGCTGTGTGTACGTGTGTGACGCTGTGCGTGTGACGCTGTGTGTACGTGTGTGACGTTGTGTGTGTGACGCTGTGTGTGTGATGCTGTGTGTGTAATGCTGTGTGTACGTGTGTGACGCTGTGTGTACGTGTGTGACGCTGTGTGTACGTGTGTGACGCTGTGTGTACGTGTATAACGCTGTGTGTGTGACGCTGTGTGTGTGACGCCGTGTGTGCGTGTGTGACGCTGTGTGTGTGTGACGCTATGCATGTGTGACGCTGTGTGTACGTGTGTGACGCTGTGCGTGTGTGACACTCTGCGTGTGACGCTGTGTGTACGTGTGTGACGCTGTGCGTGTGACGCTGTGTGTACGTGTGTGACGTTGTGTGTGTGTGACGCTGTGTGTGTGATGCTGTGTGTGTGATGCTGTGTGTACGTGTGTGACGCTGTGTGTACGTGTGTGACGCTGTGCGTGTTACGCTGTGTGTGTGTGACGCTGTGCGTGTGTGACGCTGTGTGTACGTGTGTGTGACGCTGTGTGTACGTGTGTGACGCTGTGTGTGTGTGTGACGCTGTGTGTACATATGTGACGCTGTGTGTACGTGTGTAACGCTGTGTGTGTGTGACGCTGTGTGTGTGACGCTGTGTGTACGTGTGTGACGCTGTGTGTGACGCTGTGTGTGTGACGCTGTATGTGTGTGACGCTGTGTGTGTGACGGGCTTTGTGTGTGACGCGCTGTGTGTGTGACAGTGTGTGTACGTGTGTGACTCTGTGTGCGTGTGACGCTGTGTGTACGTGTGTGACGCTGTGTGTGTGTGTGAGACGCTGTGTGTGTGACGCTGTGTGTGCGTGCGTGTGACGCTGTGCGTGTGACGCTGTGCGTGTGTGTGCGACGCTGTGTTGTGTGTGACGATGTGCGTGTGACGTGTGTGACGCTGTGCGTGTAACGTGTGTGACGCTGTGTGTACGTGTGTGACGCTGTGTGTACGTGTGTGACGCTGTGTGTGTGTGACGCTGTGTGTGTGTGACACTGTGCGTGTGACGCTGTGTGTACGTGTGTGACGCTGTGTGCACGTGTGTGATGCTGTGCGTGCGTGTGTGACGCTGTGCGTACGTGTGTGCGACGCTGTGTGTATGTGACGCTGTGCGTGTGACGCTGTGTGTACATGTGTGACGCTGTGTGTGCGTGTGTGACGCTGTGCGTACGTGTGTGACGCTGTGTGTGTGACGCTGTGCGTGTGATCCTGTGTGCGTGTGACGCCGTGTGTACGTGTGTGTGACGCCGTGTGTACGTGTGTGATGCTGTGTGTGTGTGACGCTGTGTGTGTGTGACACTGTGCGTGTGACGCTGTGTGTACGTGTGTGACGCTGTGCGTGTGTGACGCTGTGCGTGTGTGTGTGACGCTGTGTGTGCGACGCTGTGTGTGTGCGTGCATGACACTGTGTGTGACGCTGTGTGTGTGACGCTGTGTGTGACGCTGTGTGTGTGACGCTGTGTGTGTGACGCTGTGCGTGTGACGCTGTGCGTGTGTGTGTGTAACGCTGTGTATGTGACGCTGTGCATGTGTGACGCTGTGCGTGTGTGTGAGGCTGTGTGCGTGACGCTGTGTATGTGTGTGTGCGTGCGACGCTGTGTGTGTGACACTGTGCGCGTGTGTGTGTGGGGAGCGGTGGTGGTGTCGTAAACATCGCTAGCACTGGGGAGAGACAAAGGCGGCCGGGCGTCGTGCCGGCCACCCACCCCCTCGCGTGCCGTGCCGGCCTTTGTAGCCGCTCGCTCGCTCGCTCGATTGCTTTCAGTTTTCAGTTTAATTAATTTGGTATAGCCCTGTGAGCCATTCGGCGCTTGAATCGGGTGCAGCCGCAACAAACAGCAAACAGAAACACGAACAATAAAAACACCTTAAAGTGACTGCGGTTGACTTTGCGCAAACAGAAAATCCATGGGGAAAAAAAACAGCAAAATTTTCCTGAAAAAAGCCACCGTTACACCACCAAACGCTGTGTGCAAAAAAATCCCAGCGGGATGCAAAGTCAAACAACAACAACAACCACAAGACAACTTAGATGAAGGCCATCAGTCTAACTCCGTACTACAACAAACAAACCATGGCCCAAACAAAACGAAAAAAACTTTTCGAAATCGCCCAGAATAAAGCCATAAATGCAATGTAACAGTGATCGTAGGGGCTATGGTTAATTCATGTCTGCATTAACCACATTTTGGTGCTGGCAAAGGAGGTCTAATGATGTAGATGCTCACCCCGAGCCCTCGTTACTTTGATAGTGGCGTTGTCTTTGAGCTGTACGCCGTTGGGCGTCATCTGGTCGAGCACCAATTGGGTCGAAAGAAAGCCGTCCCTTGATGTGGACCAATCAGTTTCAAGGGCAATGCATCATGTATATTATCATGGTATGTTTTTGTTTGCATTTTGACTGCAGGTATTGTGGTTAATGCAGACATGAATCCTGATGATGATTGCTGCTTGTGTGTTGCAGTCGAAACGTCGTGAGAATTTCATTGTTTTATATTTATTTCATTATTTTATTGTTTCCCTTCTACGTGGTGACTTTACCGAAAAAACCAAGAATAATAATTTTATTGTCTTACAATAATTTTATATTTTTATTATTTTATTGTTTCCCCTTCTACGTGGTGGTGACTTTACCGAAAGAGCCAAGGGTATTTATTTCATTGTTTGTTGGCGGTTGCACCCAAATCAAGAGCCGGACGGCTCACGGGGGTGGTAAATCCCAATAAATGAAACCTGAAACTACCAGAGGACCCAATTAGCACGGCAAGGGGGGGGGTTCTTTCCCTCTCCCCTACCCACCCCCCACCCCCGCCGCAGGTCGCTGCGCTTGCCGCGAGGGCCTGTGGGGGGCCCGGTGCGAGCATCGCTGCGCCTGCCGCCCCGCCGCCACGGAGCGGTGCGTGACGCTCAACGGCTCGTGCGTGTGCCGCCCGGGACACCGGGGCCGCTACTGCGCCGAGGCGTGCCCCGCCGGCCTCTACGGATACCAGTGTGCCCACAGGTAGCGCGCCGGCGGGGAGAGAGAGGGGGATATCTGAGGGTACCAGCGTGCTCACAGGTAGTGCACTAGTGGAGAGAGAGAGAGAGGGGGGGATATCTGAGGGTACCAGCGTACTCACAGGTAGTGTGCTAGTGGAGAGAGAGAGGGGGGGGATATCTGAGGGTACCAGCTTGCTCACAGGTAGTGCGCTAGCGGAGAGAGAGAGGGGGGATATCTGAGGGTACCAGCGTACTCACAGGTAGTGCACTAGCGGAGAGAGAGAGAGGGGATTTCTGAGGGTACCAGCGTGCTCACAGGTAGTGTGCTAGTGGAGAGAGAGAGAGAGAGGGGGGGATATCTGAGGGTACCAGGGTGCTCACAGGTAGTGCACTAGCAGAGAGAGAGAGAGGGGGGATATCTGAGGGTACCAGCGTGCCCATAGATAGTGTGCTAGTGGAGAGAGAGAGAGAGAGGGGGGATATCTGAGGGTACCAGCGTGCCCATAGATAGTGTGCTAGGGGAGAGAGAGAGAGAGAGGGGGGATATCTGAGGGTACCAGCGTGCCCATAGATAGTGGGCTAGTGGAGAGAGAGAGAGAGAGGGGGGATATCTGAGGGTACCAGCGTGCCCATAGATAGTGTGCTAGTGGAGAGAGAGAGAGAGAGGGGGGATATCTGAGGGTACCAGCGTGCCCATAGATAGTGTGCTAGTGGAGAGAGAGAGAGAGAGGGGGGATATCTGAGGGTACCAGTGTGCTCACAGCTAGTGCGCTAGCGGAGAGAGAGAGAGGGGGGATATCTGAGGGTACCAGCTTGCTCACAGGTAGTGCACTAGTGGAGAGAGAGAGGGGGTATCTGAGGGTACCAGCGTGCTCACAGGTAGTGCACTAGTGGAGAGAGAGAGGGGGGATATCTGAGGGTACCAGCGTACTCACAGGTAGTGCACTAGCGGAGAGAGAGAGAGGGGATTTCTGAGGGTACCAGCGTGCTCACAGCTAGTGCACTAGCGGAGAGAGGGGGGTTTTCTGGGGGTACCAGCGTGTTCACAGGTAGTGCCCTAGCGGAGCGAGAGAGAGGGGGGATTTCTGAGGGTACCAGCGTGCTCACAGGTAGTGCACTAGCGGAGAGAGAGAGAGGGGGATTTCTGAGGGTACCAGCGTGCTCACAGGTAGTGCACTAGCGGAGAGAGAGAGAGGGGGGATATCTGAGGGTACCAGTGTGCTCACAGCTAGTGCACTAGCGGAGAGAGAGAGGGGGGGTATCTGAGGGTACCAGCGTGCTCACAGCTAGTGCACTAGCGGAGAGAGAGAGGGGGGATATCTGAGGGTACCAGCGTGCCCATAGATAGTGTGCTAGTGGAGAGAGAGAGAGAGAGGGGGGATATCTGAGGGTACCAGGGTGCTCACAGGTAGTGCACTAGTGGAGAGAGAGAGGGGGGATATCTGAGGGTACCAGCGTGCCCATAGATAGTGTGCTAGTGGAGAGAGAGAGAGAGAGGGGATATCTGAGGGTACCAGCGTGCTCACAGGTAGTGCACTGGCGGAGAGAGAGAGGGGGGATATCTGAGGGTACCAGCGTGCTCACAGGTAGTGCACTAGCGGAGAGAGAGAGGGGGGATATCTGAGGGTACCAGCGTGCTCACAGCTAGTGCACTAGCGGAGAGAGAGAGAGAGGGGGGATTTCTGAGGGTACCAGCGTACTCACAGGTAGTGCACTAGTGGAGAGAGAGAGAGAGGGGGATATCTGAGGGTACCAGCGTACTCACAGGTAGTGCACTAGTGGAGAGAGAGAGAGGGGGGGATATCTGAGGGTACCAGCGTGCCCATAGATAGTGTGCTAGTGGAGAGAGAGAGAGAGAGGGGATATCTGAGGGTACCAGCTTGCTCACAGGTAGTGCACTAGAGAGAGAGAGGGGGATATCTGAGGGTACCAGCGTGCCCACAGGTAGTGCACTAGTGGAGAGAGAGAGGGGGGATATCTGAGGGTACCAGCGTGCTCACAGCTAGTGCACTAGCGGAGAGAGAGAGGGGGGGTATCTGAGGGTACCAGCGTGCCCATAGATAGTGTGCTAGTGGAGAGAGAGAGAGAGAGGGGGGATATCTGAGGGTACCAGTGTGCCCATAGATAGTGTGCTAGTGGAGAGAGAGAGAGGGGGGATATCTGAGGGTACCAGCGTGCTCACAGGTAGTGCACTAGTGGAGAGAGAGAGGGGGGATATCTGAGGGTACCAGCGTGCCCATAGATAGTGTGCTAGTGGAGAGAGAGAGAGAGAGGGGGGATATCTGAGGGTACCAGTGTGCTCACAGCTAGTGCACTAGCGGAGAGAGAGAGAGAAGGGGGGTTTTCTGGGGGTACCAGCGTGCTCACAGGTAGTGCACTAGTGGAGAGAGAGAGGGGGGATATCTGAGGGTACCAGCGTGCCCACAGGTAGTGCACTAGTGGAGAGAGAGAGGGGGGATATCTGAGGGTACCAGCGTACTCACAGGTAGTGCACTAGCGGAGAGAGAGAGAGGGGATTTCTGAGGGTACCAGCGTGCTCACAGCTAGTGCACTAGCGGAGAGAGAGAGAGAAGGGGGATATCTGAGGGTACCAGCGTGCTCACAGGTAGTGCACTAGTGGAGAGAGAGAGGGGGGATATCTGAGGGTACCAGTGTGCTCACAGGTAGTGCACTAGTGGAGAGAGAGAGAGAGGGGATATCTGAGGGTACCAGCGTGCTCACAGGTAGTGCACTAGCGGGGAGAGAGAGAGGGGGGGATTTCTGAGGGTACCAGCGTGCCCACAGGTAGTGCACTAGCGGGGAGAGAGAGAGGGGGGGATTTCTGAGGGTACCAGCGTGCCCATAGATAGTGTGCTAGTGGAGAGAGAGAGAGAGAGGGGGGATATCTGAGGGTACCAGCTTGCTCACAGGTAGTGCACTAGTGGAGAGAGAGAGGGGGTATCTGAGGGTACCAGCGTGCCCATAGATAGTGTGCTAGTGGAGAGAGAGAGAGGGGGGATATCTGAGGGTACCAGCGTGCCCATAGATAGTGTGCTAGTGGAGAGAGAGAGAGAGAGGGGGGATATCTGAGGGTACCAGCGTGCCCATAGATAGTGTGCTAGTGGAGAGAGAGAGAGAGAGGGGGGATATCTGAGGGTACCAGCGTGCTCACAGGTAGTGCACTAGTGGAGAGAGAGAGAGGGGGGATATCTGAGGGTACCAGCGTGCTCACAGGTAGTGCACTAGCGGACAGAGAGAGAGAGAGGGGGATATCTGAGGGTACCAGCGTACCCACAGGTAGTGCGCTAGCGGAGAGAGAGAGAGGGGGGATATCTGAGGGTACCAGTGTGCTCACAGCTAGTGCACTAGCGGAGAGAGAGAGGGGGGGTATCTGAGGGTACCAGCGTGCTCACAGCTAGTGCACTAGTGGAGAGAGAGAGGGGGGATATCTGAGGGTACCAGCGTGCCCATAGATAGTGTGCTAGTGGAGAGAGAGAGAGGGGGGATATCTGAGGGTACCAGTGTGCTCACAGGTAGTGCGCTAGCGGAGAGAGAGAGAGGGGGGATATCTGAGGGTACCAGCTTGCTCACAGGTAGTGCACTAGTGGAGAGAGAGAGGGGGGATATCTGAGGGTACCAGCTTGCTCACAGGTAGTGCACTAGTGGAGAGAGAGAGGGAGGATATCTGAGGGTACCAGCGTACTCACAGGTAGTGCACTAGCGGAGAGAGAGAGGGGGGATATCTGGGGGTACCAGCGTGCTCACAGGTAGTGCACTAGCAGAGAGAGAGAGGGGGGATATCTGAGGGTACCAGCGTGCTCACAAGTAGTGCACTAGCAGAGAGAGAGAGAGAGAGGGGGATATCTGAGGGTACCAGCGTGCTCACAGGTAGTGCACTAGTGGAGAGAGAGAGGGGGGATATCTGAGGGTACCAGCGTGCTCACAGGTAGTGCACTAGCGGACAGAGAGAGAGAGAGGGGGATATCTGAGGGTACCAGCGTACCCACAGGTAGTGCGCTAGCGGAGAGAGAGAGAGGGGGGGATATCTGAGGGTACCAGCGTGCCCATAGATAGTGTGCTAGTGGAGAGAGAGAGAGAGAGGGGGGATATCTGAGGGTACCAGTGTGCTCACAGGTAGTGCGCTAGCGGAGAGAGAGAGAGGGGGGATATCTGAGGGTACCAGCTTGCTCACAGGTAGTGCACTAGTGGAGAGAGAGAGGGGGGATATCTGAGGGTACCAGCTTGCTCACAGGTAGTGCACTAGTGGAGAGAGAGAGGGAGGATATCTGAGGGTACCAGCGTACTCACAGGTAGTGCACTAGCGGAGAGAGAGAGGGGGGATATCTGGGGGTACCAGCGTGCTCACAGGTAGTGCACTAGCAGAGAGAGAGAGGGGGGATATCTGAGGGTACCAGCGTGCTCACAAGTAGTGCACTAGCAGAGAGAGAGAGAGAGAGGGGGATATCTGAGGGTACCAGCGTGCTCACAGGTAGTGCACTAGTGGAGAGAGAGAGGGGGGATATCTGAGGGTACCAGCGTGCTCACAGGTAGTGCACTAGCGGACAGAGAGAGAGAGAGGGGGATATCTGAGGGTACCAGCGTACCCACAGGTAGTGCGCTAGCGGAGAGAGAGAGAGGGGGGATATCTGAGGGTACCAGCGTGCCCATAGATAGTGTGCTAGTGGAGAGAGAGAGAGAGAGGGGGGATATCTGAGGGTACCAGCGTGCTCACAGGTAGTGCGCTAGCGGAGAGAGAGAGAGGGGGGATATCTGAGGGTACCAGCTTGCTCACAGGTAGTGCACTAGTGGAGAGAGAGAGGGGGGATATCTGAGGGTACCAGCGTGCCCATAGATAGTGTGCTAGTGGAGAGAGAGAGAGAGAGGGGGATATCTGAGGGTACCAGTGTGCTCACAGGTAGTGCGCTAGCGGAGAGAGAGAGAGGGGGGATATCTGAGGGTACCAGCTTGCTCACAGGTAGTGCACTAGCGGAGAGAGAGAGAGAGGGGGGATATCTGAGGGTACCAGCGTGCCCATAGATAGTG